CTTAATTACCCGCGGTGGAAGGGAAGACGTGAAAGGCGCGCAGCCGTTCTGCCCGAGCCTTCTGCTGCCGGCCGTGAACACAAACCCATCGCACGGCACAGCCTCAAGGGTGGTCTCTGCTTTATAAAACGGTTTTGTCAAAATACGTTTAGATCCAGAGAGACTGGCAAGGCACACTAGTAAATATTTTCCGCCTTTTAAGAAATCCAATAAAAGATTTAGATTAGATTAAAATTTGAAACACACCTACACTGCACTGGGCAGAACCCAGCCCGGCTGGACCTGACCGGCCGCATGCACCGCAGCCTCTGTTTGCTCTGCTGCCTACCGACCGCGCCGGCCAAACGCGGAGCGTGGGCTCCCGCCGAGGCTGAGGGCCCGGCAAAGCCTCGGTAGGCTTGGAACCGATAGCAAGTGGAAGATGCTGTGCCAGGAAAGGAAGACCAGCTCCAAATCAGTTTTAAGCAAAGTTTGGAGTGCCTTCGATCTCGCTTTATCTCTTCAGCTCACCAACTGTAAAACTACTGGGCTGAAGGGCAGCATTTTCACATTTTTAAGTTAGATTCAGGCCACACTATGGAAAATAAGGTTATATTAGTTTTTAGATATGTTTTAAACTGGTTCAGAGTGTTTTTTTCCCCAATGTCAAAGCTATGTTCTTTGCAGGCGCTGCTCCATCCCGCAGCCCCGCGGGGCACCTGCCAGCGGGAGCACAGGCATGGGGCTGGGGATGGGGACGGGGATGGGGATGGCCTGAAGAGCATCCTCACGCAGCACGCCTGCAGTATCCTCGCCCCGCCATGAAAACACATGGATCCCAAAATAAAAACCCCCAAGTTAACAGAGGTGTGCTGGCAATACAGCCAAGCAGACAGTCACAGGTTTTGCAGGGGACATCTTAACAAGGCAGCAGTGTGAAGGACCCAGGTTTACCCTTCCTTTCGGTAGAAGCTGTGCTTTTAAACAGGTCATTTGATAAAAGAAATGGCATTAAGCAAAAGCTGCATTTGACCATACTTGGATGACATTTTTTCAACCTTTTTTTCTCACTTTTATAGTTTTCTTCTTACCCTTATTTCCAGAATGTTTCCAAATGGACTTCTTGTTCCTTTCTCACTGCTGAAAGCTGCTCCGTGCGAGGTGCCTTGCCTGATCAGAAGCCAAAGCCCCCGTTATGGGGGGGTCCTTGCCCCGGGCACAGAGACTCAGTGCTCAGATGCTGTAGCTCTTCGCAGCGGGGTCGGTACTGGTTTTGGTGCCAGCCTGGAGCCTGTCCTGCTCTTCCCCATCCGTGGGCTGTACCTGGAGCAGAAAGGTGACAAATGAAGGACGACAAGACCCACGCTCCATCGCTACACAGATAACTGTCACCCCTTCCCAAAACCCCCTCTGGAGAAAGGGAGCGGCGGCTGCGGTGGGCAGGAGCCGAGGAGGAGGCCAGGGCTGGGGACTCAGAAGGTGCCTCCCCCCGTGCCGGACACGCAGCCCGGCTCCTGCCGGCAAGCGGCACACAGAGCAGTCTCACGGTTCAAAAATCTGTCCCTGCTGCCACCCTCAAATCCCCCGTAACCCACACAGTGGGTGAAGCTTGAGGACCTGGACATTTGGCAGCTCCCAGCTGCCGCTCACTGGTTTTATTTCTCGTTTGGCTGCTCCGCTTCCAAGGCCCCGGTCAGGGAAGGGGAACACGCACCCGTTCAGCTCCCCCCCTCCTCCTTCTCCTTCGCATTTTTTATTGCCACACTGCTCACTTTGCAGAACCGATCTCTAATGTGCAGGGAAGAACTGACTTTGTCTCCCTTGCAGGTGGTTCTGGGGACCCATCGCCGCTTCCCTCCCACCTCCCCACTGCCGTGCTTTGCTCTGGGCTGCCCTTGTCCGCACACCGGTGTCATCTAAAAGGACCGCCAGGAGCTGGCCCAAGGGACACGAGACCCCTGCGGTGCACAGGGTGTGACCTGCCCCTCTCCTGGCAGCACCCGCATCCTTGTGATGACCAAAGCCGTCCTAAAAGCAACCCGCTCCTGGTTCTAACGTGGTTTGCTCTGTGCTGCGAAGGAGGTGTCCTCGCCTTCCCCCAGCAGCCCTGAGTCCGGCCCTGCATCATCCCAGCATCATCCCAGGTGAAACTCCTCCACCTTACGGGTGAGATCAGACTCCCACGTTACGAAATGATTGCGTTGACTGTGCTGAATCTCCTCTGGGGTTTTCCTAGGGCAATTGCCGCTTAAAGGAAATAAAGACATAAGAAAAACTCAGCACAGTCCTGGGATCTCCAGGGTGGTATCTCGGCTGCAAAACCACTCCGACAGTAATGGGCCCGATACTGCAATTATTCAGTACTTTCTCTACTGGGACACACAACAGTCATTCCTCTTTGGACACCTGCTGCTCATCTGCCATCTTCTCCAGAGTCTGATGAAAAGACCTTGTTTTCCTAGAGAAGACATTTATGCTCTCTAGTGGTGTTTTTGCAAATCAGAGGAATTTTTTTAGTTACATCACAAGTTTACAGGTCAGTATTTGAAAAAGAAAAATGGAGCAGTAACGTGCCAGCGAGCAAGGAAAGCCCTTGCCGAGCCCAGGCCCAGAGCGTGCCCAGCAGAGGCTTCGCCTCGCTGTTGGGTGTGACGAGAGAGCGGCCACAGGACGCAGCCG